TTGGCAAGAGCCGGGGCAAGGGACAGGGGCTCACTCTGTTGTGTGGATTCGATCTTACGACTGCAGGTCTTCTGACGTTATAGCATAGAGGCTTCTGCGGTTTAACCCGCAGCGCCACCACGTTTTAAGAAGAAAGGCTGGGTAAAATAGTTTGGATGGATGGATGGATGGATGGATAGATGGAGTTGGAGGGGGCCTATAAAGCCATCGATTCCAACCCCCTGATCAATGCAGGAATCCAAACTAAAGCAGATCTAGGTGAAGGTTGTCTGAGAAATTCAGTATAAAAATATTGTAAGTAAGAGACTAAGTAAGTAAGTAAATGTTGAGGTTCTCACAAAGCTGAACGCTACCTTATGATTCTGCCTTAATCCTTGTGACTGTGCAGAATACTGGATTATGTTATAATGTGTTTATAATTTCGTTTATTCAATTTACACATCCCTACGGCCCTGTGTTGCAGAATTCCAAGTGGGTTTTCCAGGCAGTCTCCTACAGCAGTGCAGGAGTCAGTCTTGACATACAGGTGCTCATTATAACCATCCCTGCACTCCAAAGGAAAATCAAAAGAATACAGGTAGGTGTATTGATCGATACCAATGAACCAATTCTAATAGCTATAATCTCCCAGCGGAAGATTAAAGCAGGTTTTTTGCAACTTGTTTTCAACAAGATATTATGGCTAGGACACTCTGTCCTCCCTTGACAAGCTGTAATGTAGTTTGCGGCTAAACTCGGAGAGCAGCTTTGAAGACAGGAGGACCATCAATGTCAAAATCCCTGCTAGTTAGAAAGTCCCAGCTCTTCAGCCCTGTGAGCCTTGATTCCTCTACATTACTAGTTTCCAGTTCAAACACTGATTACGTAGACCCAACTAGTTTAGATTCCAACAAAAACATGATGCAAGGGGTCTTTAGAATCCAATCCAGCCATCCTTCTGAATTTGAGAGGCTCCCATGTGATCAGTTCAAGAAGCAAAAGGAAGGCCTACAGGTGGCCGAAGAGAAAAGGGAAGGCTGAAAGCATGCAGCTCCTTCTGAATGGATTACGTAGCGTTCACATGTGCTTTAGAAGGCATAGCACCCAGGGCTTTGGTTGCAAAGTATCATTAGAAGCTGGGTGGTGGCCGTTGAGGGGAGAGAAGCCAAAGCCAGCAGTGGGAGCGCTAACCACGTCTAGGTCATCTTCTCTCCTTTCTCCCTTGCAGTGTCTCCAAAGCCAGGACAACATTTAACATTCACCCAGCTAGAAATAATGTCTTATGTTGGTAACGTATGAGGCTCTTCGACTATCCTATTTTATTTTCTTCTGGGAGAAGAAAAGGTGGCCTCCAGAATCCTTGGAAGTTACCAGACTAGAAAGGGAGTGATGGAGCCTGGCTTGCCATAATAGTCCTACAACCCAAGAACTTCCCAGTGTACATCCTCAAATGAAAAATAAATAAATTCTAGCACAATTGTGCCTACCTTACAGAGTACGCACACTTTTGGGGAGACGTGCAGGCCTGTAGCTGCACTGGGAGACTGTAATCTTCCATTAATAGCAATAAAAACCAACTTCGATTCCATTCTTTTTCATATACAGTATATTCTTGCTTCTTTACATTGCCATTCTGTAAGTCAGAGTGGGCAAATTGCTACCCCAGGTTGGATGCAGCTCCACGGGATGTAAGTGTTGGCCCTTCAGCACCCCAACACCCTCATCATTAAAAAAAACACCAAAACCTTTTTTTGGCACTCAAAAGTTTCCCCTTTTGTCACTTAGGGGGGTGTATTTCACCAAGAGGATTTAGCCTCCCCATAAAAAAAAACACTTGGATAAAAGGACTCTCCTATGCCCAATGAGTTTAGAAGGAGACCAAAATGTGGGAGGAAATTGCCCCTTCTCAAGTTCCTGGAGGGAACAACAGGATTTTATGTGTGACCTTTTTAAATTGGGGTGAGTGAGTGTGGAGGTGTAAGGACGATGGGGATGTGGCCCTCTGAGGTTTAGGATTTTATGTGTAACCTTTTTAAATTGGGGTGAGTGGTGGAGGTGTGAGGACGATGGGGATGTGGCCCTCTGAGGTTCAGGAATGGCCACACATGGTTCTCAAATCTCTGGAATTTGCCTTATAATCATAATAATGGGCTCTCAAGTCAATTATGACTTATGATTAACCTTTTCAAGGCCACACAGGCTGGCTCTTCTGGAATGCACGATGGGGAACTGAACTCCTAACCTCCAGCTCTGATGCCAGTTATCTAACACAGGGAAAACCTTGTGATCTGACCTGTGTTAAAAACTGCGCCGAGTTTCACGTTCACACAATGAATTTCAAAGTATGTATTTATTTTCCCCTAACTTGGTTTATTATCTTAGGAAGCAAATTAAAATAAACAGCCACCAGAAGGCTGTTTATTCTAGCACATTGTTTTCTTAATCAACTTAAGCCCATTGTGAACCTTACAGCCAGTTTTAAAAGGGAGCCTCTCCATGTGTACCCAGTTTAAGAACACAAGCTGAAAATATGTAGCCTCTCGAATTGGTGCATTTCAGTTACTAAGGAAGGATGCAGGAAACAACTCAAAAATCATGTGACTTTAGTTGGCTAAAGTTAAAACACTACATATAGTGGTGTTTTTTTGAGAAATGCAGATATGCCCTCCCTGAGCTACTACTCCTATAAGCAAACCAACCAACCTTCTGCTCTTTAATTCACCCCAAATTCTCCCTCCCTCCCACAAAAATTATTCTTTAGTCATAGCCTGCTATCAACCAGTTAAGCTCAGGAGCATCTAATTGAGTGTCCTCTGGATGTCTACATTTGCAGCTGGAAAGAGAACCCCCAAGTTTTTTTTTTTAAATCAAGTTCCAACCATTCATTCAAAGTCATTTGCTGCTCTAGGAAGTTTGGGGCAGAAAAGAGAGAAAAAGATCAAGCTAACCTTGCAAGCGCCATCAGATAGCATTAGTTTGGTTTCAGGAGTGCATAGATACGATCATTTTGAGCAGGTAAGGAACCCCGGGGGCACATACCTTCTTTAGGGGTTAGTATAGCTTAAGACAGCAGTGCTGTTGAGTGGAACTAAAAAGGGCTTGTTATTAAATTGGCATAGATACTGGCAGTAGACTCCTGATCAAACACTGCTGCCTTTCCAAATTTGTCTTAAAAGCACGTTGAATGTTAAAAGGAGAAATGAATGGGAGGAGAGGAAAGGTGGAAAAAAAACACACGCCAACAGCAAAATCTCAGCAGGTGGAATCACATCTGTCTAAGAAGGGTAGGAAGCCTGGACAGAACTTAATTATAATAATTGTGCTTTACTTGCTGTTCCAGCAAATGGACTTCAGCCCTGGTTCTCTCTTCTTGGCTGATGGTGACACCGTCCAGCACTTGGAGGGTCGGCAAGCGGAATATGAGAAACGGCCGGTGGCAGATCTTACGGGAGACCTGGGTGGCAGAGAAAAGAAAGGCTACCCCTTAGCCCAGTGTTGTTGCTACCTGCCGTCATGTCGGAACCGACTTATAGGGTTTTTTCAAGGTAAGTGAGATATTGAAGGAGTAGTTATACCAGTTCCACTCCCCTAGTCAGTTTCCATGGCTGAGCAAGGATTCGAACTCAGGTCTCCAAAGACTCCAAGGTCTCTCAGTCTATCCACTACACCACACTGGGAAGCCAGCGTTAAAGTCTCTACATTCATTGTGATCCCATCTCTTTCCTGGGCCTGAGAGTCAACCCCTTGCATTATTAGGTAAACGTGAGGACAGATGTAATATATGGCAGCTACACACACAGGGAACCTAAATTCACAACTGACAGCATGCACAAACCTATGTCCAAACTGAACTCTGGATCCGTGCTCAGTCTTCACTTCTGCTTTCCCAAATCCTTGCTTTTTTAAAAACACACCTACAGCTTTCACTTCCTATTTACATAAATAGGCTTACAGCAAAACAGAAGCCCAAAACAGGTACCTAAACAATTCGGATTTTCGATGTGGAACAGAATTGGTCGGATCCGTAAATAGTTCAAGGAGTAAATACACTTGGAAAAGGCAATTAAGAAGAAATACACCTATCATTGTTTCTGGAAATCTATCAAGGGACAGAGCAGGAGAAAAACTGCCATTTTCAGCAGCAACTAGATGCGCATCTTGACTAATTCTGCCGTGAATGCCCTCCAAAGTTTCATCTTGAATCCTAGCGCACCATTTTCCTCCCTACTCTACCACCACCAGAATATCATACCTTCATACGTTCAATCTGACTTCTTGCATCCAAAACCATTCCAAGCTATCTCATCTATAAACTGACTGTCCAAATAAATGAATGAATGAATGAATGAATGAATGAATGAATAAATAATAAGACCAGTTTCACAATACTGACAAAACTTACGCACTTTAATTTTGTGCTTAATATTCAGCAATGCATTCAGGTCTCACCATGACAACACACCAGGCGCTGAAAGCCATTTTTGTGAGCTTTTCAGGCTTAGTGTAGCGAGCCATATAGTGCTTATTAAATGGAGCAATTATGAATAATTAGAGTAAATGAGGAACAGATAAACATAAACTTAATGCATATAATTTTGCAAAACAGCTTACTCACAGGATTTCCATAGATCGAGAGCTCTTTAATGCAAGGAAGACATTCAAGTTTTTCAAGTTCCGACAGATCCTGCCCAAAGATTGAAAAATGAGTTAAAACCGAAACTTCTTAAACCTTTTCTGCAGAAAAACCTAGGGAACTTAGACCTTGATCCCACTGACAATAAAAACTGCCCTTGTATCGGGCTCTGCTTTTTAAAAATACTCTGTGTGTGTGTGTGTAGTGTGTATATGTGTGTGTGTGTGTGTGTGTGTATACACACACACACACACACACACACACACACACACACACACACACACACACACACACACACACTCAAATTTGGGCATACACATGAGGTATGTGCACGCGTGGAGTAGTGTGCCAGAGGTGCATGTTTTTCTGCTCCTTTGCCAGAGGTACATTTATGTTGAGGCAGGTAAGGTAAGGTAAAGGTTCCCCTTGTCATTTAGTCCAATTGTCAGACACAGTCGTGGTGGTCATCCTCGTTTCCAAGCCGTAGAGCCAGCGTTTGTCCATAAGTTTCCGTGGTCACGTGGCCAGTATGACTAGACACGGAACGCCGTTACCTTCCCACCGAGGTGGTCTCTATTTGTCTACTCGCATTTTTACATGCTTTCGAACGGCTAGGTTGGCAGGAGCTGGGACAAGCGATGGGGGCTCACTCCGTTGCATAGATTCGATCTTACGACGGTTGGTCTTCTGACCTTGCAGCACAGAGAATTCTGCGGTTTAACCCGCAGCGCCACCACATCCCTTATGTTGAGGCACATGTGGCATCAATTCACTGGAATCCATTCCACATATGTGAACATTCCTGATAGAAGAAGAATACTTTGCTCTCACCCGCTTGGCCCCCTTGCTCAACTCCTCTGCCCCCCACCAGACCTATCACCCCCCATCCTTTTGATCATCACTCTGCCCTCTTGATCACCTCCCTGCTCCCCCTAGGGGTCCCCGCCAGTCTGACTGCTGCCCCACTGCCAGCCCACCACCTGTAATTTGCTCTCGTTTTGACAAACGGTGTTGTGGGTGGCAGAGGTGCGGCCAGAGGCAAAAGGGAAGAAGCACACGCCGTGTGGATTCTGGCTAAAGTCCATGCAACGTTAATCTGAATCCAAAAGAAACGATCCCTCTGTTGGTTTATTCCGGCAGTGGAACCAGGCCATTATCTACATCTCAATCTCTCTCTCCAAGGAAGAGTGTCAATAGTAAGTTGTTTTAGGGCTGGACAAGCTCTGGAAATCTAAAGACCTTTTTTTTTCAGTTCGAGATTCTTTGGGGACGGTTCCATTGGGCCCTCTAGATCAGGGTGAGCCAGTTTAGTGGGATCAGGGGCTGATTTTCTGCCCCACGGTCCTCTGATGGCAAAAACATGAAAGAAGCATAGGAGGGAGAGAGAGACTGAGAGCAGAGAAACCAGAAGTCCACTTTTTTGAGGGGCGGGAATATCCTTTTACAGTGGACCCTTGACTTACAGACGGCTTGACTTACAGACTTTTTGAGTTACAGACTTCTCTGGCCGCAAAATTTAGGTTTGACTTGCAGCCTGAGAATTGACTTACAGACCAGAAAAAAACCAAAATGGAACAAAAACGGCCTGTTACGGGATTAATCGGTTTTCAATGCACTGTAGGTCAATGGAGACTTGACCTACAGACTTTTTGACTTGAGAACCGCCTTCCAATACGGATTAAGTTCGGGGGCGGGAATGTCCTTTGACTTTGTTTTGTTTTTGGTGCTGAACTCTGCAAGGAGAGTTTTCCCCCGGGAAACACTTTTGAGGGAGCTAGGAGGTGGGGGAGAGGAGAAACAAAAATTCTGGGGACCACATGTGGCAGCAAGCATTCTCTGCTGTAGATCAGTGGTCCCCAACCTTGGGCCTCCAGATGTTCTTGGACTTCAACTCCCAGAAATCCTGGCCACAGACTTTTTGACTTGAGAACCGCCTTCCAATACGGATTAAGTTCTCAAGTCAAGACCCCACTGTACTTTGTTTTGTTTTTGGTGCTGAACTCTGCAAGGAGAGTTTTCCCCCGGGAAACACTTTTGAGGGAGCTAGGAGGTGGGGGAGAGGAGAAACAAAAATTCTGGGGACCACATGTGGCAGCAAGCATCCTCTGCTGTAGATGACCCAACCCGTCGTTCATTTCTTGTTCAAATAAAATGAAGCCAATTTAACTCCAGTCTTTAAAAAGGCACAACAGATTTTTAAAATCAGAATATGCTACGTTCGGGGTTTAGATCTTGTTTAGGTGATCCTACCACTTTTTAAGGGGAGAAAGGAAGACTTCCAAAAGTAGTGTTTTTTTGGGGTGGGGGTGGGAAGAAAAGCAACTGGAACCGGAGATGTTCCCCAGATGTTCTTGGACTCCAACTCCCAGAAATCCCGGCCAGTACAGCTAGTGGCGAAGGCTTCTGGGAGTTTTCATCCAAGAACCTCTAGGGACCCAAGGTGGGGAACCACTGCTGTTAACAGAAAGAAAACACAAAGAAGTAAACTCGGCACAAATGCCCTTCAGATCTGCAGAGTCAAACCCAGATCCACTCTTACCTGAATTCTGTTGAGACCAAGAAAAAGTTTCTGCAGTTTTCCCAAGGGCTGTAAATTGTTCAGTTCTCGGAGCCGGTTCTCCTCCAGATGAAGGGCCACCAAGGAGCCCAGCTTGGTGAAGGAATTATCGTTGATCGTTTTCACTTTGTTGTGATCTAGCACCAGTTCCTGTAGAAGATGGAGACCGTCCAGCCCTTCAATCTGGCTGATTTCATTACCTGTGAATAGCCAGAATGAAAGGAGACAGCAGCTGATGGAGCTTAAAATGCCACTGGAAATTTAAAGCCAAGATAGTGGCTGCTACCTATTCCCTGACCCTCTTGATGGAGTAAAGAGCACACAGAGAAACATCTGGGCGATTCCAGCCTCACTGGTCACTGAGCGGATGTCTTCCTAGTGTGCCTGCTTAAGCATAGGACTTTTCGACTTAGACTCTGATCCTGTTTGCCTGCTTGCAGGACCCTATTCCCCCCCTCCATATGAGCATTCCAGGGTTGGAAGATCTTTGGTGGTGGTCATCCTCTTGGTTCCACCTGTGTCATAGGCAAGAAAATGGCCTTTTTCGGTGACTGCTCCTAAGCCTGTGGAATCTCCTTTCAGGAACAGCTCCCTCCCTACCATCATTCTGCTGGCAAGCCAAGCTCTTGCTCAAGAAGTGCTTTTGGTGGATGCTGTACTTTGTTTATTTAGCCTTTTAAAATGTGCCTTTAAATTGTTTCACAGCATTATAATTCAGTAGTTATACATGAATTTCACATTTAACTGAGTTTTTGTTTTCTAACATACTGCATGCTTAACCCTATTTGTATATTTAGCCAATTTCTTGAGTCCTTGTATTAGGAAGATCAGCCAAGGTAACACCAGGCGTCCTGAAAAGGACAAAAAGCTGATCCCACAGCTATAAATACTCAACTGTCCCACAAACTGCACCAGAACACAGACAGAGTTCTAACTCCAGTCCTCTGAAGATGCCGGCCACAGAGACTGGCGAAACATTAGGAAGAAAAACCTCAAGAACACGGCCAAATAGCCTGAAAAACCTACAACAACCATCGAATCCCGGCCATGAAAGCCTTCAAAAATACATTTAACATCATATCCTTTACTCAAAAGATTATAACTGTAGGTCACTTTTCCCTTGTTTTTTTCTTTCTCAGATGCTTGCTAACTGGTGACCTGGTTGCTCTCCACATAAAACGGATGTGAGAATATCCTGCAACACCATACAAATGACGGGTAGAAGAATCCTCTTTAGTTTTTCTGCACGTGCAATGTTCCATGGCATGAGCTACTGGACTCTTTAGAATTTAAGCGGGCACAAGAAGTTATCACTAGCTGAGATCCGGTAATGTCACAACTAGAGTAGGACCAAATGCAGACTCCAGCCAAGAAGAAGACTGAGATCCAGAAGAGCAACAACGAAGGAACTGGAAAAGTGTAAGGATGTGTCATTGGGGACCAAGACCAAGATTGTCCACACTATTGTATTTCTGATCATCATGTAAGGGTATGAAAGCTGGACAGTTAAGAAAGTTGATGGGGAGAAAAAATGAATTTTTTTAATGCGGTGCTGGAGGAGAGCTTTGTAAATACCCTGGAATGTCCCACATTCAAACAAGTAGGTTTTAGATTAAATTACTGTAAGCCTGAATTGTCTCTGGAGGCAAAAAAATGTTGAAATTGAGGGTGTTCTACTCTGGGCACAACATGAGAAGACAGGATTCTCTGGGAAAAAAACAATAATGCTGGGAAAGGTAGGAAGCAGCAGGAAAAGAAGACCGAATATAAGATGGAGTGACTTCCTAAGGGAAGCCACAGGTTTGAGTCTACAAGAGCTCAGCAGGGCTATAGAGGATAGGACATTTTGGAAAGTGCTCGTTCATAAGGTCAACGTAAATTGGAGGTGATTTGACGGCACATAACAACAACAAATTGAAGTTGTGGAACTTACTTAGTGGAGCTGACTTAGCAAACCCTCACTGATTAAAGGGGGCCTGCTTTAGTGGTGGCTTTTACCCACAACCTGTTGCTTTGACCTCTGACCTGTGAAACTCTACTGATGGTGAACAGAATACTGGTTTAGGACCTTTGTGAGTTGGTGGACCTGTGCGAAGTATTCTCACAAAGCTGCTGCTGTTACTTACCCTGCAAAAACAGAAACTTCAGGTTTTTTAGCCGGCTGATCTGCAGCAAAGCCAAATTGGTGATTCCATTGTAGCCCAAATGAAGAACTTCCAAACTCTCCATGATTGGCGACAGCCCTTCGCTGAATCCTGCATCCCTAAAACCAAAACATGCCCATCGTGTCAGGGGACAGGGTTCTTCTGCAAAGTTTAAGAAGAGCTGGGGGTGGGGTGGGGAGGACCTGCGAGCTTGTTCCAGAGCTTTTGGTAGAGTTTCCTAAGGACAGAGGCTATACTTTGGGAAGAAAGAGAGCGCCGGGATTGAAATGGCACCATATACCTCAAGGATAAACATGGAAATCCACTTATTCCCAGCAGAAGGAAAGAAAAGGAAACTCTTCAGTGTTTATACTTACATTCATTCTATTATGCATGAACGACCACATAGTCCACTATTACATGCACTACATTACAAATGTGCCTACGAAACTGCCTTATACTGAACCAGACGATGCCATCTACAAAACATTGTGTGTCTTTCCCATAGTTCTGTTGCAGAACACAGGTTCCGAATGCAGAAGTTCCTGGTTTCAATCCACAGCATCTCCAGCGAGGGTTGGAAAACTTTCTCTGAAACTCCCGAGAACTTTGTCAGTTCATGTTGACAACAGAGGGCTTGGTGAACCAATGGCCTTATTCAGTATAAGGCATTTAATGCTCTATGTCTAGAGATGAGCACAAATCAGCACAGTGGTGGTTTGTAATAGTTCGAGATTCGTTGGTGGCCATGAGCCATGCATGAATTGGTTCGTGCTTCATTCGGTTTTGACCCTCGTTCATGGTTTCCCCACCCTACCTTATTTGCTCCAGGTGGCATCATCCTCCCCTCCACTGCCACGCTGCCCAGCAGTGTAGGACAGTAGGCTGTTCCATAGCATACTTCCTGTTCTAGTGCTTTCTGGGAGGCTTAGAGTATTGTAGGAAGTACATTTCTTTGAGGGTTCCCTATATATAGCCCAATGGGCAGCAAAATTACACTTCCCACACTATTCTCCCAAGAAGCAGTGGGGCAGGAAGTAGGCCCCACACAGCCCTACTGTGCCCTACTCAGCAGGGCAGTGGTGGCAGAGTGGACGCGGCAGCGCGGAGTGAATAAGGCAGGGGGGCTGGGGCTCATGAAGAGGAGCTTTCTGGGATGGGGAGAAATGAAGCCAAAGGAAACTCCAAGGTTCAGTGTTTCGTTTCGCTTTGTGAAAGCACGATTCCCCGAAACATCCATGAAACAACCCACGAACTGGTGTGATTCGTGAGTTTTTTCAGTTCGTGGTTTGTTTTGTGCCCATTTCTACTCCAGTCTATTTCAACCAAGCGGCAGCTCTCCAGAACCTTCAAGAGAATCTTCCCAAAGCTTGGAAAAGCTACCATTAGGACTTCTGGGAATTTGGGATTCTGGAAGCTATAGTCCTAAAATGTAACTTTTCCAAGCTCCCTGTCTCCCTAATGCTGTGCATGGTAGACATACTGCATTCAATCCCAATTGTAGATTTCAGAGAGGAAAGATGGAGAAATGACAGCCTGAGATCCTGAATCTCCGTGATCTGATTAGCTAATCTCAGGCTAAATGGTACAAGATACAAGCAACCCATCCAAAACTAGCACTTTTATGAGTTCATGAAACAACATGAGTTATCACTTTCTCCAGCACTGCGCATTTTACAGAAATGGGTAAGTATTCTCCAAGACTCGCCACACACTATTGTTTCTCTGATATACTTGGTCATGCTTTCCAAGGATGATGGGAGCTGTTGTCCAAATGCACTTAGAGAGCACCAGACAGGTGGAAGCTCGCCTGCACATTCATGTTTTTCCTGCATGTTCATCTTTTTCCTCCCTGACCCCATGTTATCTTTGGTCAATCAATGTTTAATGTTGTTTTTTGGCCATGCCTTGAAACCCCGTTACCTACACATTCATGTTTTTCCTGCACGTTCATCTTTTTCCTCCCTGACCACATGTTATCTTTTTCCCCCCTGACCCCATGTTATCTTTGGCCAATCAATGTTTAATGTTTTTTGGCCATGCCTTGAAACCCCGTTTGATCATAAATGTGGCAGGAGGAAGAAGAAACAGGGTTAGACAGAGGACAGCCCTCTATAAAAATGCTCTTGTATGTTCCAGAGTTTTAAATGCCATGCAATTCTGGAAGAAGCACGCGAAGCACAGATTTATACGGGAGGGCTTAGGAAAATACTCATACATGGGGGAAGCCTGAGATTATACAAAGCAGGCTCAAGAAGAGCACTTAATTGTCTTAAGAAAAGAAAAGAAAAAGATCATACTGATACTCCGCGTATCAGACAGTGGAATTAAGCAGTTTTTAATTAATTAAAGGGTTCAAGAACTTAATGCTCCGACTGATAAGCCTGATTAGGGTTCTTCAGAATACATCAGACCGATGCAACCACATGCTGCCCCGTGACCAGATGTGCAGAAGAAAAGAGCCAAAGCTCTTGAATACACCTGGACCCGCTCGACTGGGGAGGAGAAGGCGGGCCGAATGGCTCAGATTTGCTCAGATTAAGAAGTGATCAAGAGGCCACAATGTCTGGAACAAAGAGCTGGCAAAGAAGAAGGCACTGGCTTTGTTCCGGCATTGCGACAACATGGGCCTGTCCTCAACTACCTCCCATGCCTTTGTTCATTGGATGGGACCCGTCTGGGTATTGCTGGCACTGAAACACGGATACGATACCCAGGCCCATAGGACACACACACACACAATCTGTCTAAAATAATAACAGTCTTGAAACTCCAGAGCTGGAAGGGATCCTATGGATCATCAAGTCCAGCCCCTCTCAAGGAGACCCAGTGCGGGAATCGAACTCCCAACCTCTGGCTCCACAGCCAGATGCCTAAACCAGTAAGCTATCCAGCAGTTCATAGGTATATGATATATTGTTTCTATATCTGCAAATTTAGAAATAAGGATTCCGTAGACTAATCACCCATCTACAGGAAAAGACAAAAGCCTATCTCACAGCCATAAATACTGCACTCCCAAAGCCAACTACACCAGAGCACAGAGTGCTGTCCTCTGAAGATGCCGGCCACAGAGACTGGCGAAACGTCAGGAAGAACAACCTTCAAAACACGGCCAAAGAGCCCGAAAAACCCAGAACAACCATTAGATCCTGGCCGTGAAAGCCTTCGCGAATCTATTGATTCCGTAGACTGTTACTTAGAATACTAGAACAATTGATTTGGAAGGGCGTATAAAGCTACTGAGTCCAACCCCCTGCTCAATTCAGGAATTCAAATCCAAGCGGATCTGACAAATGATTATCCAATTTTTTTTCTTGAATGCCTCTGGCAGTAGATCACTCACCACTTCCCAAGGTCATGGATTCCATTGTCGTACTGCTCTAACAATTAAGACTTTTTTTCCCGATATTCAACCAAAATCTGGTTTCCTGCCACTTGAGCCCGTTATTACATGTCCTGCGCTGTGGGATAATGGGGGGAAAAAAATCCTTTCCTCTATATCTTCTTAATATGTTAAATTGCAGCATGGAAAAGGGGTTGGGGATGTGACATGCTTCCTTCCTAACCCATCCACTCCATGCTTGGCAATTAAGTGAGAGCCGTAACTAAACCTCTCAGCAGGAACCATGGGTACCCACAGCTCTGGGAAATATGTATTTGGTGGACAGAGCTCCATGGTCTCAGGAGAGCAATGCCCCCTGATCTGGATGCATTCACACATCAGACTGCTAGATCAGACCAAACGTTTTCTAGTCCAGAATTCTGTCCATATAAAGAGCCAAACAGCTGCCGAGAGATCACAGGTAGGATGTAAGCCCCAAAGAAATGTCAATTCGTTTTTCCTGTCCTGCAACTGACATATAGAGGAGTGCTACCTCTCCTACTTGAGTGGCTCTACAGTCATCATGGCCACAGCTTGGAAATGTTACTTTTTGGGTATTAGTAATCATCATCATATAAGGGAAGTGGGGGCGCTGCGGGCTAAACCGCAGAAGCCTGTGCTGCAGGGTCAGAAGACCAAGCAGTCGTAAGATCGAATCCATGTGACGGAGGGAGCGCCTGTCGCTTGTCCCAGCTCCCGTCAACCTAGCCGTTCAAAAGCATGCAAAAATGCAAGTAGACAAATAGGGACCACCTCGGGGGGAAGGTAACGGCATTCTGTGTCTAGTCGCGCTGGCCACGTGACCATGGAAACTTACGGACAAACACTGGCTCTACGGCTTGGAAATGAGGATGAGCACTGCGCTCTAGAGGCAGACACAACTGGACTAAATGTAAAGAGGAACCTTTACCTTACCTTACCTGCCTCAACATAAACGTACCTCTGGCAAAGGAGCAGAAAAACATGCTCCTTTGGCACACTACTCCACGCATGCACGTACCTCATACTGTATTTACCTTAATCATCATCATGTGCTGTCAATTCTGGCTTATGGTGACCCTTTCCAGGGTTTTCCAGGTAGAGGGTAATCAGAAGTGGTTTACTACTCCCTTCTTCCAGGGGAACCCTGGGACTGTGCAGCTGGCCCAAGGCTACACAGGCTGGCTCTTCTCCCTGGAGGCATGGTGGGGAATTGAACTCCCCACCTGTGACTCCGTAGTCAGATACCTAAACCACGGAGCTATCCAGCTACCTTCTGAGATTACAAGTGCAAGAAACCATTTTCCCCCAAGGTCTGGATCACTGGTAGTGACTAACAGCTACCTTCTGAGATTACAAGTGCGAGAAACCATTTTTTCCCCAAGGTCTGGATCACTGGTAGTGACTAGAGATAGGCATGCACCACCAGTTTCGCAGTTTGTTTACCAGTTTGTTTACCACTGCAACATTTTTTATTTATTTATTGGATTTGTATCCCGCCCATCTAGATGAAAGATCTACTCTTTGGTCGAACAAGTGTTCAGCAGTTTGGCCACTCTCTCCGGCAGGTGCGCACTCGGAAGCTGCACCCTGGTTTCTCTGCCCTGACTCCTCTGGGTGCTGCTTCTGAGTGGGCACCCATCGGAATGGGTGGCGCCCTGAAACGCCAAACACCGGTTGCAGCAGTAAATGAACTGGCACGAACCACAGAAACATCAGTTCGGCCCATCTCTAGTAGTGATCGATCGCTCCATACTAAATACTGTAGGTACATCCCAATGTCGCTTTGGAACTGCCCAGGTGGGCAACCATCACAACATCTAGTAGCAGTAGGTTCCACAGGTTAACTATGTGCTCTGCAAGGAAGTATTTAGATCTCTCACTACTGAGTACTAATATTATGCAGGAGGAGAAAAGTTTTCTCCACCTTGTCAAGCTTAACCTACTGTTATGTCAAAGGATAAAGTAGAGGTCAGGGAACTCTGTGTGCCACCCGAGTTCCTCAAAGAAAATATGAGATATAAAATCTCATGCAGTCCTAAATGGGGTTTTCAGAATTTGGGTTCCAGCTAAACATCCTTGTCTTCAATCGTCACGACAAAAAAGCTCCCTCCTGCCTGAAGACTGAATGAAATACCTGTTGCTTTTGGAAGCTCCTTGCTGTCCATATCCACTGGAAGACACTTTCTGATACAGCTGCTGCCGGTTTGTTAAGTGGTTCGTCGGCTTCTGTCTGGGTAGGATCGACTCAATGTGATTGTAGTTTAGGCAGAGCACCTGTCATTAAAAAAGGAGAGAGAGACATACATGGAGATGATCTGGTAAAACTTGCACAGGCCAGTGGCTCAATATTTGAGACTTCAGGGCTGCAAGCAGGGAGAAACAATGCACAACTATCGCTTTGCATAGAGGTGGGCATGAACCTTGGTTCGAAGGTTCGTGCTGGTTCATAAGCGCGACCACCGCAGGTGCTGCTTGCTCCCTTCCTCCACCTCCCCCCACTCACCAACCGGCGTGAGCTCCTCTCTCTCTCTTTCAGTTGTTCAGCCAGTCTCCGGCAGGAGCACGGGGTTCCCTGCCCCGCCTCTTTGGCTGATCGCCCAATCAGTTAAGGAGGTGGGACAGGCAAGCCTGTGCTCTTGCTGGGGACATCCTTTAAAACTTGCAAAGGCCAGTGGCTCGATATTTGAGACTTCAGGGCTGCAAGCAGGGAGAAACAATGCACAACTATCGTTTTGCATAGAGGTGGGCATGAACCTCCGAACCAAGGTTTGTGCCCATCTCTAGTTCTAGAGCATTTAGCACTGTGATGGAGGCCACAAGGAACCTGTATCAACAGGAAGGACGGAACTGATTTTATAGACATCCTTAGGGACCGCATTCCAATGGGCCAAAGGCAAAAGGGTGCCCGTATATTTCACAGTAAAGCTCTTATTGCCAGTTACTGAACCTTAGGAGAGATATTTGCAATCGTTTTATAACTGGGGTGGTGTGGGGTGTGGAAAGGCAATCAAAGAGCTGTTTCCACTACCATTTGTAGAACCCTTGATGGGCCTGACTCGGAACCAGTCAGGAGGGCCAGATTTGCCCCCGAGGCTCAAGGTTCCCCACATCTGCTCTTGAACAGTGAGGCTGCTGCTATTGTTTACTCTTTCCAAAGAACTTTGCGGTTTTAGATCTCACCTTCCCTACAATCTGAGGACGAACACTAAGATTATTCCTATTTCACCAACGAACAGAACGAGGTTGAGATATAAGATTGGAGGCAGGCACAGCATGGTTATCTCCATGATAGGAATGGCCCAGCCTATTTACTGAATCTAGTTAATACAGATGAGTAAATAAATTTTTTTGGTTTGTTTTTCAAGAATTTGTCATGATTTGCAAATCCAAAACAGCTACCTTGGATGGGGGTGGGAACCTCCATGACCAGTTTCTCCATCTCTACGTGAAATTTCTCTCTCCTTGCCCAAGGGCAGAACTCACTTTTGAGGGCCTATCTCCCAGAATGCTTCCCAGTGACTATGCTAGGCAGAGGATTCTGGGAGCTACAATCCCATTTTTTTAAAGTAAATGTTTTCTCAAATTCTGGTGTTGACAATATAGATCTGCACATGCTCCATGACAGGGAAATTAAAAAGCCAAAGCAACTCACCTTAACATTAGAGAGAAAGACCAAACCACTGAAAGAGGTGAGATTATTGTTCTGCAGATTCACACTGGTGATGTTTTTAAACTGCTCTGCTGGCACCAAATCTACCATTCTGAGTTGGAATTTTTTAAAAAGAGAGAGATTTAGAAGAGAAAGACGGTTCAAGCAGAGGTTAAATTAAACATGACACCCCTTTCCTTCCCAAAGGCAGGCTCCAGGGAAACACCTACACAAAAAATGTCTCTTTTCCACCTTTTTTAAAAAAAGCTGATCCACAGCTTTGAAATTTCAAGCGTTTAGATCACTTTTGCATGACTTACTGCTCATTTAATTGGATTGAACCTGAGAGTTCTTGCCTATGAAAAAGGTGTTTTACCTATCAAACACCTGCCAGGACTCAGCAGAAAAACTATTTTATTAGACCACTGGTTCTTAACCTTGGGTTACTCAGGAGTTTTGGACTGCAACTCCCAGAAGCCTTCACCACCAACTGTGCTGACTGGGGTTTCTGGGAGTTGCAGTTCAAAAACATCAGAGTAACAAAGGTTAAGAACCACTGTATTAGACTACAGTTTTCAGAAGCCCACCAGATTATATGGGCCACAAGGGTTGGAGATTTTGGTGAGCTGTAGTACCATAAAGTAACTTCTCCTGGCACAGGACGTGCCTTCCATTTTAATTAGAAAATTACTCACCTGATCATAGAAGCTGTCCAGTTTAATTCCTGCATTTTGCTGAAGTCTGAGTGTCCCAGTCTTTCTGCAACCATGTCAGCATTGAGTTTGCCACCAAATAAATCTTTAGCATTTTCAATTTCCGTTGCTTCCTATATGAGAGACATTTTACAAGTTAGCTATATGGGCTGCATTAAATAGGCATTCCTATTTGAATGCACACATTCATTATGTTTTATGCAGATGGGCACGAATCACCACAAACCTAAACTGGTGGTTTGTGCTCATCTCTAGTTTTCAAAAAGTGGCCATAGGGTTTTATTTAAAAAGGTAAGAACTTTTAAGCACGAACAAAACGGCTGCAAATTTTCCAGTATGGGCTCTGAGGTTCACTAAACACTTGAGGAGCAGTTTATCACCGCGCTCCTCAATGAGTTATTTTTTAATAATGCAATATTTCAACATTACCGCCCATGTTACTATTTAAATCACGCACACACACAAACAGCATCCTCCCACTTGGGCAAAAATGAGAACCAAACTATATGTGAGGTTAGGAACTCTGTGATCTCATTTCTGACCACAGAGGAACTCTTAACTCCATGTCGTTTTTGCAATTAAAACTGCTACCACCCCAAAGGCTATTGGAGAAAATGGAGTCCGCAAACATTTAAAAATCCTGTTGTGTACACATCCCGAACGGGACCAAATCCATATTTAAAGATGTTAATAAGATCAGGGCTGTGGTCCAAAAGAGTAAGTGGCATATTGAAATGGCAATGCATCAACCTGGCAAGGTTTTAGAATTCCACTGCATTGGTGAGGAGAATATTAAAAATACAAGATGATGAAAATAGAAGAAGGGGTTTCTCCACCCTCCCTTTTAATGCCACAACCCACCTAATACATCACAGGGATGTCCCCTCGGTTAATGCCACCCCCCAGCGTCATTTTGGTGAAAGCACCCATCTGCAAAGGCTAAGCACAGAGCTATTTTGCATGTCAATGAATCCTGCTAAAAAGATTGCATGCCCTAGCACTATGCACATTTGGTGAGGGACAGCTCTTAACCAGGGCAGGGAGATCGTTCTAAGTAGAAACACAAGCAGACAACTGCTCTTTTTGTGTGTTTGTATACCAAACGGTGACATCAGGGTTTCATATATCATAACTATATGGCGGTGTAAACAGGCTTTATGTGCAGTAAACAACTCACCACAGCAATGCCATCCAGTGCTTTCAGAGACGGAATATGGAAAATGACAAAGAGACGGTAGTTTTCTTGCTTCCAAACTATCAGATTTCCATACATATCCAGGATTACCAAATTGTTTAGCCCCTAGGAAACAACAGGCCAGTCAACTCTCTTAATTCATCTGATAATTTAAAAAAAGGAGGAGGAAATCCTGAGATAATCCTGCTTCAAAGAATGTGCCCACCATTTGTAGAGGACCTCATTCAGGGCTTCTCTGCACTGCTCATTTTGGAGCAGGCTGGTGTGGGCTAGAAAAAGTCACATGGGAGTCAGTTGGAGGTGTGATATGCCATTTGTTGCAATCCTTGCATTCAAATAGCCTATATGAGCTCATGTGATCTTACTGGATCTGGTCCTTTTCGTTTTGAATCTCCAATATTGTGAAGTGGCTTAATCCAGTGGTTCTTACCCTTGGGTTACACAGGTGTTTTCGGACTGCAACTCCCAGAAGCCTTCACCACTAGCTGTGCTGGCTGGGGTTTCTGGGAGTTGCAGTTCAAAAACACCTGAGTAACCCAAGGTTAAGAACCACTGGCTTAATCAGCAAACCACTTAAAAATATTGGCAAAATGAACCCTTCCTCTGCTCCTCGGTGGAGGAACAGAGGAAGTGATTTTTTTTTTTTTCAAATTCTGGTATACTATCGCTAATGTGCTGCATCACTTATACAGAAATAACTTTTTTTTTCATTTGCCATGTCATAAACAAGTGGCTGAGAAACTCTGTCTTATTAGGCTATTAGCTCCTATATTTTTAGAATGTAACATTCTTTTTGGTATTTTATTATGCTCATGCTCCTCTACTTTTAAGTATTTGCCTACAACTTCAGTTTTAACACTTGCATTTTTTTCCTAAGCTACCTTGGGTTCTTTTCAAGAAGAAAAGTGGGATAAAAATCTTTTAAAGAAATAAATATAAGTTGCAAGGATATATTTTTAATCATTTGAGCCTACAGTTCTCTACATAATTGTAAGACGTTTGTATTTTACAACAACTCTGAAGTGATTTTATGTATATGGAACACATTGCCTGGCATTATTTCAACAGTGAAATAATTCCAGGCAACAACAGGGTTCTGGATTTGGTTTTTTAAAAAAAGTACAGACGCTGTGACGGTTTGGCTTATACCTGCCAACAAATACTCTGTTGTAAGATCTCATAAAAAGGCCTTACTAATCTCACTGACTACTTTTTCTAAATATGTGCATGTTTTAATAATTATTTTTTTATTTTGTTCTTATTGCTTTATTGTTTTAAGTCGGGTCCGTAATGAACGAACGAACGAACGAACGAACGAACGAATGAACTGGTAGAGGCTGCACCATGGATTCTCCCTTGGCTCAGGAAGAAAGGATTGCTGTGCTCAAAGATATGGTTCTTCTCATTGACTCTCAACTCCGTCTCTCAGACATAATGATATTGTCATCTGCTTTTTTTGCTGTACAGCAGCAACCTCCAAGCTTACCTTCAGCTGATAGATTTCTTGGTTGGAAGACACATAGTTGTTGCTTATGTAGAGTTCAATGAGTGCGTAGGCTTTTTGGAGGCCCGCCAGCGATGTGATCCGATTGTTCTCAAGAGAGAGATAATGGAGGTGCCAAAGGTTCTCAAAAATATTCTTCTCGAGGCTGGTGAGGTGGTTGTTATTGGCGCTCAGACGCATGAGCTTGGAGAGTTTTGAAATGCCTGGGGAAAGAAGAGTATTTCTGAGAAGTGGGCAAGGAACGACAATGCTATTGCAACATAAATAATGCACCGAGGCAACCATTCATAATTATGCTTATTACTGTATTTATATTTATATGGCATATTTCCATGCATGGGATGTCAAAGAAGTTCAGATACTAAAAACAAAATCTATTCCCCATTTTTTAAAAAAATCCAGTTGCTTAGTATAGTAAATTGCACTAGAGTAGGCCCACTGAATTAGTAGGGACTTGGTCAACTACTCCACAAGTTGCATTGGTCCAAAGCAACATATCCTCTAAATTTCAGCCATGCTGGGTGGGGCTCTGCCTCTCTCTCTCATGACTTCACCCCTGCGTGCAGGACTCCGCATGTGGAGTTCCGCCGCGACTAGACATGGGGATGAATATAAAAACTTATCAGGATGTTCGTTAAATATCCCTGATTCGTCAGATATTCACTGATTCGTATTCTTAGGGTCCAGAGACCCCAACAATTATGAGGCAACGAATATAACCCTTTCATATTCGTCCCTTCATTTCCTATCTGCTTATCCCCCGCGGATCAGCCGTTCCTCGGGGGGCATAAGCAGAGAGGGGTTTTACCTTCAGGCGGCTTCCTAAAGCCTGCCCGAAGGGAATCTCACCCCCGGAGCTGGGGGGATGACATGGTTCCCCTTTCCTCCTCTTCCTATGCCTACGTGGCATAAGAAGAGAAGGGGAGGGATCAAAAAGAGTGCTGCTGTGCAATCGCTTTGATCCCTGCTTTCCCCCTTCGTTCTAAGCCCATCAAGAAAATAGAAAGCAGAGGTCAAAGCGATCGTGCAGCCGAGGCTGCGGGATTGCTTTGATCCCTTTCCACCTCCCCCACCATCTAGAGCAGTGGTCCCCAACCTTGGACCTCCCGATGTTCTTGGACTACAACTCCCAGAAGCCTTCACCACCACCTCTGCTGGAAGTCAAACAACCTCTGGAGGCCCAAGGTTGGGGAGGGACCCCTGCCCTAAAGAACCAGCAAAGATGTGACGGAAAATTGAAAATCAAGCTTTTTCCAGAAATGGGCAAGACATGGTCCTGTGCAGAAGTGCTTTGGGAGGACCACGGCCATCCAGGTGGGAACAAAGGCAGGTCTAGGAACACTCTGCCCTGATGCAAATATATGCAAATAGATTACCCTCCAGGGTGGAGATGCAGTTTCCATCTACTGTGAGTTCTTCCAGATTGAGGCAATACTCCAGGCCTTCTATTTTAGTGAGGTTATTGTTGCTAAAAGAGGCCCACCGCAAATTCTCCAGTTTTTCCAAGCCGCTTATTTTGCTGAGGTGCTGGCCATCCAGATCTAACACAGTGATCTGTTAGAAAGGAAGCAAAAAAAATCCCAGTAGCTTGCTATTAACATGGATGTCCAGAAACAAAACAGGAAAAGACCCATACTGATGGTTTCTTGGACTGTTTTGTGTAAAGACCACATGACTGTTTTACTTTCTTGTTATATTTTCTTAGGTGTTTTCTGAGTTTTCCACCACATACTAACTTAGTACCATAGAATAATTGCCTTAAAAGGGGCCATCCAGTCCAATCTCCTGCTCAAAGCATGAATCCAAAACAAAGCAGATCTGGCAGAGGGTCATCCAATTTTTTTTCTTGAACGCTTCCAGCGTTGGACTGCTTTCCACTTCCTGAAGTAATTGGTTCCATTCTCATACTACCTCCAGCGTTGGAGTGCTTTCCACTTCCTGAAGTAATCGGTTCCATTCTCATACTGTTCTAACAGTTAGGAAGTTTTTCCTGATATTCAACCGAAATCTGTCTCTCTATAGCTTGAGTCCATTGTTGCCTGTCCTGCACTCTGGGATGATCGAGAACAGATCCTGTCCCTCCTCTGTAGGACAGCCTTCCAAATATTTGAAAAGTGCTATCGTATCACCCCTCAGTCTTCTTTTCTCAAGGCTAAACATGCCCAGTTATTTCAGTCTTTCCTCATAAGGCTTGATTTCCAGCCCCATGATCATCCTTGTCACCCTCCTCTGAACTCATTCCAATTTGTTAGCATCCTTCTTGAAGTGTGGTTTCCAGAACTTGACGCAATACTCAAGGCGAGGCCTGACCAGTGCTTCTCTGAACTCATTCCAATTTGTTCCTTCTTGAAGTGTGGTTTCCAGAACGTGACACAATACTCAAGGCGAGGCCTGACCAGTGCTGAATAGAGGGGGACTAGCACCTCATGGGATTTGGAAACTATACTTCTATTAATGCATCTTAAAATAGCATTTGCCTTTTTTGCAGTCACATCACACTGTTGTGTGATCTTGTGATCTACAACTTGTGATCTACAACAATTCCAAGATCCTTCTCACTCCAAGTAAAGTATTACTGAGCTAAGTATCTCCCATCTTGTAACCTACTTCCCAGAATTCCTTTCTTTAGAGGTGGAGAGATATTAATTTGCTACTGATTATCCTGAAACTGACTTAGGATTTGAACCCGCTTCTCTGAAAATGTAGAGGTGAACCACAGAGAGGGGCATTAAAGCTTCTCTTTTTGCTTCTTGCTGTGACGCAGCTTGGTTTCTATAAAAATACGTCCTACCTCAGAAGCAATCACCTTTAGCGCTAATGTCACACAGCGTAACATTGATGCTAGTGCCTGAAACATGTGCTTCTTTTGGCAGTTGCTGTGGATGCACTGCTCTTAATGTATGGAGATCAGAACGCTATGCTCCTCTGTGCGAACGTGTTTTCCTCTAGCTATGCTGTGTGCCACAAAACAAATCAAACTGACAGAGGGGCTTTTAACCTTTTCTTCTTGGCAGATTAACATGATTCTGGATGATGGGTCAAAACACAGATTATGACAGGTCAGGGTGCCCGAGGATCACCCTGGATCACATCGTTCAACGGGTTTCTCTTACAGAACACACCAGCAATCATTGGCAGACATTTAAGATGATGGCTAGGAATATTCCTTACGTGTCTTGCTCTGAAACAAGCTGAACTAACCTTGTCACATGAAAAACATCTCTTCTTTGCTTGGCTAAAGGGGATCACCAGGGCTGTAAGGAAGATCCTTTATTCATTTCCACCTGCTGGTTCTGAATTCGAGTCCTTGGTATGGGAGGGAGGAGCTTTTTGACCCTTTGAAACCTTTTTACCCTTTGTTTATACTACTGCATTTTATCCATCTCCTAAAACATGTCGACATACCTTAATTTTTCTTTCATTTCCCCTCTCAGTTATTTGCCTTTGATGAATATTTGAAGACAGATGGAAATGCTAACCCGGACACTATCCTAACAGAACAGAAAAGGATGCTTCCTAAAACAGGAATATATGACCTCCGATAAGGTCCTCTTTTTACCTTAGAAAACCAGTTGTTCTGGAATACGTCGACTTTGTTTTTGCTGATCTGACTCAAGATCTTGGCATAAGGCAAGACGCTGAGGACTCTCAGCTTCTCTGGGTCTGTCCGAGAATGTTCCACAAGGGACACCTGGAGAGATGAAAGCAGGAGGTTACAAGACAGCGCAAATTAATAAACGTACATGGTGCACATTACATAAGCCAAATACGATTGTTTATTAAGATATTTTCTAAACCATGTGTGGAAAGAAAGGAAATTTCTGTTTTTCTCATCAGAGTATGGCCCCCTTTCATACCCTTCTCTGCAGGAATACCTGTACATGGGAACACGTCGCTTTTTACAGGTCCTGCGAGGTGAAATTCTACTAAAAAGGAGCAAACTTCCTGTACCACTGGCTGTTGTTTCAACTTCTCCCAAATTCTGCTGCTCCCATGTCACTTCAACTTCTTTTCCCTCAAAGAGTCCTTGCTGCTCTCTATAGCCATATCGACCACAGCTGGGGGATTGTGGAAATAACCATAGCCATGCGTTTAGAGTCCAGACTGAGCTGTCTGTTCATAACATCCAGCCTTCCTTAATTAACCTGGTGCCTTCCACATGCATTGGGCCACAGTTCCCATCATCCGCTGCCAGGCTGTGCTCATACACCCAGGGGTGAGAGTAAATCTGGTTGATGCGCATAAGCACAAGGCTTTTTCAGCTATGTCCTCATATTTATTACAAATCAGGTATATATATCGTGTTTCCCCAAAAATAAGACATTAATTTTTGCTCGAAAAAACGCAATAGGGCTCATCTTCAGGGGATGTTTTACTTTTTTCCATGTACCGTGTTTCCCCGAAAATAACACATTAATTTTTGCTCGAAAAAACGCAGTAGGGCTAATTTTCAGGGGATGTTTTGCTTTTTTCCATGTACGACAATCTACATTTATTCAAAGACAGTCCTGTCATCATCTTCTGGTTGCTGCACAAGGGTGGAGGGCGAGGTTTCACTCAACTGGGGCTTATTTTTCGGGTAGGGCTTGTATGACGAGCATCCTGAAAAATCCTAGTAGGGTTTATTTTCAGGTTAGGTCTTATTTTCAGGGAAACAAGGTAGTTAACTACCTGATAATTTTTGGTTAACTGAGATTTTATGAATATGTGATAGTTATATTGAGTTCTCTTTTTTCCTTTTTTTTTTTTGAGAATCTGTTTTCTCAGTGATTTTCGACACAAAGTGATACAAACCAATTAACTACATACATTGTGGGGTGTTTATTTAAAACAAGATGCTGTTTTGAGTGTACAGTAGGAGCCCTATAAACATAGGATCAGTTTCTGCTGATTCACTTATCCACTGCTTGAAAATGCTAAATTAAAAAAAACTTGGAAGAGGAGGTGGGGCAGGGAAATTTCTGGCGCTCAGAGGAGGAGGTGGGGCAGGGAAATTTCTGGCGCTGCTTCTGATGGTGTGTCCATGGGAGGAGGTGGGGTGAAGAATCTGGGGCGCCTGAGCTACACTTGTGGGTCTGATCCACCAAATTGAGCCAACGCGCAGTTTGTGCCCAACTCTAATCATTTTTCTTATAGCCAATATTCAGAAACATAAGGGAAAGTTTTTTTTAATGAACAGCAGAATTATGAATGATAAATGATGGGATACTGGCTAGATCTGACTGCCAAGGGTGATGCTCAGAGCATGGTACATTATGTTTTCTTGGACCCTACCAGCAGTGTGCTCAAAAGTGCAATAAAACTTTATCTTGGATCACTGGAAATGTATCCTTGTAAGAAGCAAAACAAAACCAGACCATCAAACCTGAGTGATTCTGGAGTCTGCCATAAATTGAATCGCGGCCACTGCCTCAGCTTCGGTAACCAGGATCCCATCAAGGTGTGTCAGAGCCTTCAGCTGGCCAATCACACTCAAACGCACAGAGGCTGGCTTGGGGAGAAGACAAGAAGCCAATCAAAAACAGCATAAGATGTTCAGTAATGGCATAGCTTTCGTTTGATCCTTAATATTTATTTATACACTGTTGTTAGCTTTAAAGGCCCGCTTTTAAATGATGTAAGCCACCTTGGCTTACATCATTTAAGTTTAAGAAAAGTTTAACCACTCGTGGCGCAGTGGTTAAACTGCTGTACTGCAGCCAAAACTGTGTTCACAACCTGGGGTTCAATCCCAGGTAGCCGACTCAAGGTTGACTCAGCCTTCTATCCTTCCAAGGTCGGTAAAATGAGTACCCAGCTTGCTGGGGGGCAGGGCGGTAATGTGTAGCCTGCATAACATAATTAACAACCACCCAGAAAGTGCTTGAAGTGCTATAGGGCAGTACATAAGCAGCACGCTTTGCTTTTTTGCTTTTTCTTTTAAGGCGAAAGTTGGGGTAAAATGTAAAAATAAAATAAAATAAATAAATAATGTTTTTAAATTAAACACACACAAAATTACAGACACACACACACACACAACCCCACAAACCTATACATAAAACCCAATACACATACAACCCAATGCCACCAGGACTATTGGACATTATTCTCTTTCCCCTCCATTTACAAAGGCCCATTCCCCTTCCAGAAATACACTGCCTCTTGCAGAGGTTGATGACCCTTCCCCTTTCTTAATACAAAATAGTAAATCCTCCCCATATGTCTCTAAAAATATTCTTATTTGTCAAGCCTTATTACCTGTTCACTTATCATTAAATTGCTCTATTCCCAACTTCTTGATACCAGTCCTTGAACTGGAGATTGCACTTAACTTTCCCGTTCTTTGCTATTATTAATCTAGATACTTTTAATAAACTTCAAAGCACTAGTTTCGTTGTTGTTCAGTTCCATTGCTCGCTCTCAACTATTCTATGATCTCAGATTGTTGTAACTACCCAGAGTGCTGCGTTGGCACTAATGAATGGATGGATGGATGGATGGATGGATGGATGGATGGATGGATGGATGGATGGATGGATGGATAGATAGATAAATAAATAAATAAATAAATAAATAAATAAATAAATAAATAAATAAATAAATAAATAAATAAATAAATAAATGTGTGCTTCACAATGATAGAGGCAAGAAATATTTTCATAATCCCAGCACATGATTCTTAAAATATACTCAAAATTGCTTACATTATGGAAATAATGAAAATGATAATCTATTTCTGATACTACTCAGATTCCATCTAATCAGTGACAGAACAGGAAGTTTAATAGAAAGAAAAATTCAACTAGAATAGCAAAGTTGTGTATAAAATGTGTTAAGCTGCATGAGTGGGAAATAACTTATTTGTGACAACTCTACAGGCTTTCTGATAGAAGACTGTTATCACTTCTATTCTGTAAATGATCCGTCGCATGCATATATCAGTACACATGAAGGGACAGAAACAATTCAAGACATTATGCTGCTTTAGACTAAAAAGAACAGAAGGAACCTGGGACATATTTAGAAATTTATTTATGTATTTATTTATTTAATTTATATGCCACCCACACTACCCAAAGGTCTCTGGGCGGCTTACAACAATAGTGTCCCTCAAGTAGTGAAAGACCTCTGTTTGTCATAAACTTTTCCTCATCTCTGTATTTTGCATTCTATATTGATTTGTTTTGTAATAAGCCAGGCAAACAGGGATTAATTTAGAAATCTGAGTTTCTGAGGAAACAGAGTTGTGGGAAGAAAGACAATCCAATTGCAGGAAAGAATCATTTCCCTTAATATCTAATTTCTCCCAAAATCAGACTGTACCAATGAAATGCTATAGCTCTTTTGACCAAGAAATCCTTCCTTATCATGGAATATAATTTACTGGAAAATTATTCTGATTCAAAGAATGGGAGTTTGACAACCTTAGAAGAGATTGATCAGAATGAAGAAGCATGGCCTGCTATTTGCTGAGCTTGTCCACATGATCAGGATTTCTGATTTTTCAAGATTAATCACACCTACCATTAATCATACAGAGAGTCTCCATGTGTAGCAAATGTTTTCTCCTCCTCCAACATTCCTTATCTCCACAGACACAATGGCAGGCAGTATGTGTGTGTGTGAGGTCTATGTGAAAAATGAGAGGTCAAAATCCATCCGTTTTCTTCTGTTCTTCTGAAGGCCTCTACTGGCAGATTTAGAAAGTTGCCAACAAACATTCTTCAATGCCACTCATTTCTATCAGTCTATCTACCTGTCCGTCCGTCCGTCCGTCCGTCCGTCCGTCCGTCCGTCCGTCCGTCCATCCATCCATCCATCCATCCATCCATCCATCCATCCATAGCTTAGGGCTGACACAAAGATCTTGGAAATGTAACTTTTTAAAAAAATACATCTCCCAGAATCCTCTAAGCAGGAGGCAGATTTCTGGATTATGCCTCTGTGAATCCCCCAGGAGGCAAATAATTCTGCTGCAGAGCTTTGAATTTTAGCTAAAAACCTGCAGCTGCACAGCTGAAATGCAGGAACTTACAGAGCAGAATAGTTTCAAGTTCCCCACAGTAAAACACCCCTTATTTGTCTCATCAACTGGTGCTTGCAGTCTTAATAATTCAGTCTGAGACATTGGCAGGAGAAAGAATAAAATCTTTCATTTACTCACAGTTGAATAGATAAAAAACAGCATACTGTACAAAACTGACTGCTTATAGAGTTTCAGCAACAGGCCTCAACAGATTCACAACCTGTTTCCAGCAGATTCCTACAGACTATATTCACATAACTGCACTAACTACATACTCTCAGCTCTAACAGTCTACTAAATGCCAGCAGACTAAAAAAGAGGGGAAAAAACACTTAAACAGGAAGGCGGGGCTCTCTTTAAAATCAGAGGCAGGGAAGGAACAATTGATTGCTACTGCGTTGATTGACAATCACCCCAAACCAGAAAGGTCACTGCGTTGATTGACAGTCACCCCAGACCAGAAAGGTCCCTCCGAGCCAAACCTACTGAAGGCAGCATATGAGGTGGAAATTTAACTTTCAAAAGTTCTTGTGGCATCACATGAACATGTGTTACCATCTTAAAAGAGATTTTAGGAAGGGATGATAAAAAGAATGCTGCTTCCTTCCATCATCACACCTAATGCACCTCCTCAGCCATCATCATCATCATCATCATCATCATCATCATCATCATCATCATCATCATCATCATCGAAATATCCTTTTCATTTTGTCACCTGTGGATGGGAGGCAGATTTAGATTTATCTTTTATTAATGCAGTCTCTCCAGATGACAAGACGCAAATTTATTTTTCTTACCAAGTGGTAAACATCATCTAAGCAAGTGAATTCGTTAAAACTAACGATGAGCTTGCGAAGTCCAGTTAGCTTGGAGATGTCTCGTAGTTTGCTCAACCTATCCTTTTCATTTTGTCACCTGTGGATGGGAGGCAGATTTAGATTTATCTTTTATTAATGCAGTCTCTCCAGATGACAAGACGCAAATTTATTTTTCTTACCAAGTGGTAAACATCATCTAAGCAAGTGAATTCGTTAAAACTAACGATGAGCTTGCGAAGTCCAGTTAGCTTGGAGATGTCTCGTAGTTTGCTCAACCTATTCCCATGTAAGTTCAGAACCTCCATAAAAGAAGAAGAAGAGCCAAAGTAAATAATTTTTTTATATCATTTATGGGTCACCTCTCTATTCATCTAATAATGGAAAAACACTGCAGTTCAGAATTACGATTTGTCAAATAAAACATATGCAAAATATGCATTACATTTTTTTAAAGGATCAGATACAGTGGTGTCTTGACTTACGAACTTCTTGACTTGCCACCAATTTGAGTTACGACCAGCTCCGGTCGCAAAATTTTGCTTTGACCCGCGACCGGTGCTTTGAGATATAACCGGAAAAAAGGCTCCCTCCCTCCTTTCCTGTTTACTTTTTCCAAGTCGGCAGCTACTTTCAATGTGGAGTGACAGCCCATTTATTGTCTACAGAGAAATAAAGCACCTAATAATTGGTGAGGGCAGTTATTAATAATCAGATTCCAATACTGCCTTCTACAGTTTTACATTATCGCACATCAATGCATATGTCAATTTAGCGATATATCGCTTATGATTTTTTTTGAAGAACATTTTAGGGCAGTGGAAACCCAGAAACAGGATGGAAAATAAATCAGTTTATGGGCAGTGACACATGTAGCCTACAGAACTAGTAGAAATAGCAAGAGATACATCAATTTAAACGACAGCCATGGAATGGGCCCCCAGCAGTATATGTACTATATGACTACACATATAAATATATTGATATAAAAAAGGGGGGACGATTCAAATGGTTTGTGTGATCAGGCCCTAAATTACATCCTGCTTGGATTGCCATAACACACTATTTTTTGCAGTTGCTTTTTAAAAAGTGTTCAGAAATGTCAGCAGGTCGAAATTGCAGTGGCAGGACTGTAGATTACAGCCAGTTATAGGAAGAATAGAAATTCCTTCCTAAGTCAGCTTGACTGGCTTCTGGTCTGTTTCTAGACCAAATTCAAAGTGTTTGCTGTTCAGGAAGGCTTTCAGTCACTGTTTAGTTGATAAGAGGCTTTTAATGAGTGATGATGAATTTAGGCCTTTTTACAAATGCTCTAATGTAGAACAATTTTTAGTATAAAAATGCATTCAATTAAGTTGCAATACATATAGCATTTCTGTGTTATTTTCTATTACACCATGCCTGACCCTGAATTCCAGGGCCCTGCATTCAGATATTTCCCACTTCTGTGGACAGCCATGCCATCCATGTTTTGTGGCCAAAGCATCTCTAAGGCCAGTCCTTGGGGCGCATGCAATGTGAGGCAAAGGTGGAAGACACCACTGGGATGCAGAGGAAGGCACCTAAAAATGTGAAGGCCAGGAGGTGGGGAGGGACAAGTAAAGCTGTTCCTTTGGAGTGGGGTGGGGCCAAAAAAAACCACCCAATTTTATAGGGAGGGATTCGTATTTCCCCAGGGCTATCACAATGCATCTCCCCTGCTGTTATGGTGAGCAGATTATCTTTCACTTTCTGTGAAGTATAAATATATATGTGCCCAGGACATGTCTTCCGAAAGATATTGTCCATGTGAGCAGAGTGCTTTGGAAACCTTCACAATGCTTTCCCACTCTCCGCTTCATCAGGACTGCCGCAAAAAGTACGTCACCTCAATATTATTAAAGCTGGAGGGGAAGTCCAATCTGGACAAGGTCCGTTTTATGTTGTCTGTGGAGGTGGTCGATATTATGGAACAAGTAGCTGTTTTCCTTGAATCAATTGTTAGGAGGCAAAGCCCTGAACCTAACAAGCTAGCTTGACTATGTTTATTTTATATTTTAAATGCCAATAAAGGTTTATTATTATTATTATT